GTTACATGTTTTCCTTGAGCTGATATAGATCAGTATAAAGAGCCCATAACCCAGTGTGATGTGAACATGTGTTTTCCATGTTTGTGGGGATGTCAGGCTTTGACGTTTCATGTGCTATGCTGCTTTTCTTGCCTCAGGAGCCAGCCTTGCTGCCAGGTGGAGAGGTGCCAGCTTGGGAAGTTGCAAAGTCCTAGAATGTTATAGCAGCCTGTTACTGCTTTCCTTGGTTCCCGAACTTCTATTGCTCAGAGGACTGGAGTCTGGAAGCCTTGGGGCTCTGGTGACACTAACCCCCTAAGCCTGGGCCAGTGTGGCCCTCGGTTCCAAGGGAGGGCTTTGGAGGAGTTGCTGAGTATCTGGGCTGCAGTGATGTGGCCACCAGGGAATTGGGTGCTCCAGCAGGCACCAGCCAGAACAGGTTTTGTAGATTTAAAGACCTTCCTCAGCCCTAGGCACTCTCACTTTTCAAAGCCTAGCCCAAGCCTGTACATTAGGGTGTACCCAGTCTGAGTTTAGCCTGTAATACAGAGATATTGAGTTCCTGTTTATAGACATTCAAATATTAATCTTGGTTTTAAATTTTTGTTGTTGTTGTGGGGAAACAATAAGGTTTTCTTTATCTTTTTTTTTTTTTTTTTTTTTTTTTTGGTTTTTCGAGACAGGGTTTCTCTGTGGCTTTGGAGGCTGTCCTGGAACTATCTCTTGTAGACCAGGCTGGCCTCGAACTCACAGAGATCCGCCTGCCTCTGCCTCCCGAGTGCTGGGATTAAAGGCGTGCGCCACCAACGCCCGGCCAGGTTTTCTTTATCTTGTCTGTTTTCCTCTTATCCTCTGCCCATCTCCTTCCTCTCCTCCTTTCTCCTCTATCTCCTATCCTCCCTTCCCTCCTGTATGTCCTTTCTTCACCTCTCCCTCCCTTCTTTACTCCTTCCCTCTCCCCTCCCAGATGCTTTTTGGTATGCTGGGGTCCAGCCCCATATATGCCAGGCAGGCTCTGTACCACTCTCAGCTAGTATACCTCTCCTGTGGCCCTCTGCTGTTGCAGGACAGCTCTGCTCGTATCTCCTGGGGACTGCGTGTTGTCCTCAGCCCTGCTTATCAGCCGGCAAGCATTCCTGGAGCCTCTGCCACACCTCATGTTAGCCCAAAAGAAAGCAAGCCTGTGGTCTGTTTTCCTGTAAGGAACCCTGCAGCGGGACTGACAGGCCGGAGCCCAGCCTGGGTGGGCAGGCACTGAGATTGAATCTGTACTGCTTTGGGAATCTCAGGCCTGCTTCCTGAAGGGTCCCCATTGTTGGAGGGTGAGGAGATTGACTGTGGGAGAGTGTGGCACAAACTCGGTGACTGTGTGGGAAGCCATGAGCTGCCGTTGTAGCTGGAAGTGGATTGTGATGGTGAGTACTCCCAGGCTGGGCTAAGTGTGGGAGGCTTTCAGTGCCGTACGGACAGGTTCAGACTCCTTCCAGGCATGTGACTGGGTGCCCCAACCTCTGCATGCTGTTTGGATTTATTGCTGTGGTTCAGTATGTAGCTGGAATATAAACATGTGATGCTGGGAATTGAACCCAGGGTCCCCCTTCATTCTGAGAATATGCTGTACCACTGAGCCCCATCTCCAGATGAGGTTCCCACCTTTTGAAGGGTCTACCACTCCTCCATACCACTACACTGGGGGCCAACCTACAGCTAACCATACCAGTCCAGAAACATGACTGCCACTCTCAGGGTGTATGATATGTGTATGTGTGTGTATGTCGTCGTGTGTGTGAATGAAGTTGCATACATGCCATGGTATGCATGTGGACGGCAGAGGACAACTTCAGGGGTTGGTCCTCACCTTCCACATTTTGGAAATTAATTTATTTATTCTTAAGTATTTACTTATATGCCTGTGTCTGTGTATGCCACATGTGTACAGGTGCCCAAGTAGGACAGAAGAGGGTACTGGATCCCATGAAGCTGGAGTTACAGGTGTTTGTGAGCCATCTGATGTAGGTATTAGGAATGGAACTCTGGTCTTTTGGAAGTATTGAAAGTGCTCCTAGCTGCTGAGCCATCTCTCCAGCCCCTCCCACCATGTTACTGATCCAGAGTTCCCTCTCTGAATGACAGGCCAGCTGGCTTGCAAGCTTCTGGAATTCTCATGTCTCTGCTTTCCATCCCTTCACAGAAACACTGGAATTACAGATGCTCACTACCAAGTCTATCTTTCTATGTGTTCTGAGGAGGTGAACTCAGTTCTCACACTTGGACAGTAAGCAATTTACCCACATTTTACCCTAGACTGCCTTCTTTATTTCTTGTGAGTTTGCTGGAGAAACCAGGCCATGCTTGCGGTAGGTTCTCTTAGCCTCTGACCTTGGCTGGTACCTCTGGTGTCACACTGTGAACTTGGCTTCACACTGTGTCACAGCAGTTATGCTGGAAGCTCTGGGCTTGATGTACCCACTAAGACTGGTACATTTAGGTGCTGTCAGCCAATGGCCGCTTTGGTGTCTCCATTCTAAGGTCTCTGCTAGTCTCTTACCTAATGGTTTTAGTACTCTGTTATCCAGTGCATTCCCTCCATTCATAATTTCATCGGACTTTTCTGAATGTCTTAGTTAGGGTTTCTATTGCTGTGAAAAGACACCGTGACCACAGCAACTCTTGTAAAAGAAAAACATTTAATTGGGGTGACTTACATTTTCAGAGGTGCAGTCCATTATCATCATGGTGGGACACAGGTGGACATGGTACTGGAGAGGTAGCTGGGTGTCCTACATCTTGACTTACAGGCAGCAGGAAGTGGTCTCAGTATTACACTGATCGAAGCTTGAACAAAAGAACCTCATAGCCCACTCTCACAGTAACACACTTCCTCCAACAAGGCCACACCTACTTCTACAAGGCCAACCTCCTAGCAGTGCTACTCCCTATGGACCATTTTCTTTCAAACCGCCACACTGAATGACAATTCTTAGAAACTTGTTACTTTGAGATAGTTGTAATTTTATATTAAATCATAAATAGTACAGATAAGAGTCCCTATACCTCTCGCCCAGTGTCCCCCCTGGTGGTGGTACCTGGCTTGCATGTAGTCTGTTTTTGTGTCTGTAGTCTGTGTCTGTTGGCACAATCCATAGTTTCAGTTTAGATTTCATTAGTTTTACATGCACTAGTGTGTGTCTAGGCGTGTCTATGTGTGCATGCATTTATTTTATGCAGTTTATCATGTATAGATAAATATGAATAAGATCTCAGTCAAGATCCAGAGCATGGGCTGAAGGGGCTGCTAAATGGGTGAAGGTGCTTGCTGCAAAAGCTGAGTTTGATCTACCTGGTGGAGAGAGAGAAGTGACTCCCACCAGGTGTCCTCTGACCTCCACATGTTCCATGCACAGTACACCCAAATGCGCCATAAATACATAGATAAATAAATGTGATAAGAATGGAAACCTGGGCTGGAGAGGTGGCTCAGTCAGTAAAACATGAGGACATGAGTTTGGGACATAAGTTTTGTTTGCCCTATACAAAAAAAGTAGAAGGTATCTGTCTTAGTCGGAATCATCTTCTGTGAAGAGACCACAACTGTGGCTACTCTTATAAAGAAAAGCATTTAACTGGGGTTGGCTTACAGTTCAGAGGTTTAGTCTTTTGTCATCACTGTGCAAAGTATGGTGGCTCACAGGCAGACATGGTTCTGGAGAAGCAGCTTGAGAGTTCTACGTTGGGATCCTCAGGCAGCAGGAAGAGAGACACTGGGCCTCTCGAACATTTGGAACCCTGAAGCCCACCGGTAGTGACACACTTCCAACAAGGCCACACCTCCTAACGGTGCCACTTCCTAAAGACCAAGCATTCAGATATGTGAGCCTATGGAGGCTATTCCTATTCAAACCACCACAGCACCCAAGGAATAACACGTGCCATTGTCTTCTGACCTCCACCTGTCATACAACATACATGCACCTGTGCTTTCACACATGTACTAACACAAACAGGACATTCAGGGCTGGGTGGGAACAGCTCCATGGAAGAATGCTGGCAGAGGATATGTCAGGCTCCGAGACTGTGCCCCAGCATGCAAAGGAAATTTAGAATATTTGATCACAAGATCCCTGAAACCATGAATTGTGCCTATAATAGAAGTGCCTCAGTATGTTGAAATTTTTTATTTTGTAGATGTTTGTTGAACTATTGTTTGGTAGCTTTTAGGATCATGTTTTTCTGAGGAGAATTATGAAGGAGGTAATGAGAAATGCTATAATAACCAATATTGGAATTATCAAAAGATTTATTAGGCTTATTAGCCATGAGACAGATTAGATGAACCCTTACTTTATTTTATGGGGAAAATCTATTTCAGGGTATATAGAAGCTGTTTCATTATAGCTATATGCTAATTTTAATTATAAATTATTTGATGCATTCAAACAGCAAACTCCCTGGCTTTTCATGCTTAATGTGCTGCATTTTTTCCCAAACTTAGTAAAACAATTGGACAAGAGCTCAGTTATTCAGAGAGACTTTAAAAGCCAAGTTTATGTGACTTACTGGTGTGCTATGGACTTATTTCAGGCAAATTGAAAGACATAAAAATAACACACTGTCCCTGTATTTAATATCTTGCTTAAGATATAGAATGTTGCCCATTATTAAACCCCCTGCTACTGGATAAGAAATAACTTTTATTTGAATTTTATTTATTTTAATGTGTGTATGTATGTGTAGTGTGTGCACGTGTGTTTGGGTGCACGTGTATGTATATGGAGGAGCCCCGGGGTTGGCAATAAATGTCTTTCTCAGTCAGAATCTGCTTTATTTATTGAGGCAGAGCTGCCAGTTGTGGCTAGTCTTGCCAGCCAGATTGCCCCAGGACTCTGCTGTCTCTGACTCCCGAGCGCTGGGATTGTGGAAGGCTGCCATATGTGCCCAGCTTTTGTGGATCTGAGCAACTCAGATTGCTCACTCTTTTGCAGCAATGTCTTTATGCCCTTTATCCATGTGTCTTAACACAGGTATCTCTCCACATGGCGGCCGAGGAAGCAACCATCACAGTTCGACTCATCCGTTCATTTGAGCATCGAAATTTCAAGCCTGTAGTGTATCATAGAGTTAATTTGGACCAAACTGTGAAGGAATTTATAGTATTTCTAAAGCAAGGTATGATAAATAGAGTTATTTTATTCCATATTTGTATTTTGACAATGAAAAAGTCTGGCTATGATGTTAATAATAAACTGAAAAGTACAAAATTAGACTGGGCCTAATGCTGCACACCTGTGATCCCAGAACTCAGGACAGCCAAGACAATCATGATTTCAGAGCTAGCTTGGGCTACCTAGCAAGTTTTAGGCCAGCCTAGGCCATACAGTGATTTTTAGGCTAGCCTGGACTACATAGCAATATTTATACTTAAATTAAAAGAATCAACCAAGAAAAGCACTGAAGCAGCTGTTCCCCAGCCCACAGTAGTTTGGAAGCTGGTGTTAGCAGGAGCCAGGCTGGCTTGTGTCCTGGGCCCTGTCACTAACTGCCACAGGCTTTTAGTGAATAGTGTAAACATACTCACCAGGAATTGTAACCATCATGTTTATACTCAAACCAAGGTCCAAGATGAGAGGTAACGACTGTCAAGTGCTTACCCCACAAGCGTGAGGAGGATGTGTGTTTGCAGGGGAGGTGACTGTCACATGCCTGCCACACAAGTGTGAGGAGGACAAGTGTTTGACCCTCCAGAACTACGTAATAAAGGAATGGAGGTGTGTACCTATAATCCCACTGGAGAAGTAGGGACAGATTATCCCTGGGGCTCACTCTCTAGCCTGCCTGCCTCATCCCGTATAACTTGGGTCCCAGAGCCCTGGCTGGAGATGGCAAGGGAGTGAAGGGAGGATGGCCACACAGATAATAAGATTTGGTGGGATTTTCTGACACCACTGCTGTCTGGAACCTCAGTGAGTTTATTCATTCCAGCATGGGATGGGGTGGGAGTTGGCTAGTCTTGTTAGGAGGTCTCTGTAGGCAAGCAGTCCTAGGCTATAAGCTTCTGGGAGGAGGAAAACGCACTTGCTAATCTTTGCATGCATTGATCCATAATCTCTCATATTGGAATGCCCAAGCTTGGCCATCCCTCTTGAGCCTGCCCCATATGGATAATGGTTTTGCGATTTACCATGGACCAATTGGTTTTAACAGGCAGGCCTTGCTTATGTCACAATACACATTTACTCGGGACTTGGCTCACTCTGGCTTCAGGTGCTTTTACCAGCCGAGCCATCTCACAGGCTGGGAAATGGAAGTCTTCTGGTTTATTGTTCTAAACATGCAGAGGGTGGAAATGCAGTCCTCACCCTGAGACAGCCTTATTACTCTTCACTACTGAAGCATTCCAGAGTCGTCTGATACAGCCTCTGGCATGTGCTTTTGTTCTTTTAAGTGAAGTAAAATTGATATTTAGTCCCATGAATTGAAAACTATGTCTTTATATTTTTACTGTTGCGTTTTTCCATTTTTGCTTTTGCACGCATGTGTGTGTGTGAGTGTGTGAGTGCACGCACGTGAACACACATGCATGCATGCATGAGGAAACCTAAGGCTGATGTCAGGAATCATCATCTGTTGCTCTCTCGCCTTATTCTTGGAGGTACAGAGCCTCTCAGTCAAATCCAGAGTTCCCTGACAAGGCTGGTTTTATTAGCCAGCTCAGTGTGGATACCATGGGGTATCTGCCTCCTGAGGTTGGGATTATGACATGCCCACTGTCTTAGTTAGGGTTTCTATTGCTGTGAAGAGACACCATGACCACAGCAACTTTTATATAGGAAAACATTTAATTGGGGCTGGCTTACCATTTCAGAGGTCTAGTCCATTATTGAGGAGCATGGCAGCATGTAGGCAGACATAGTGCTGGAGTGGTTGCTGAGAGTTCTATATTTTGATCCACAGACATCAGGAAGTAAACTGTCTCTCACACTGGGCATAGCTTGAGCATATGAGACCTTAAAGCCCACCCCCACAGTGACACACTTCCTCCAACAAGGCCACACCTCCTAATAGTGCCATTCCCTAATGGCCAACCATTCAGCCATGAGTCCATGGGGGCCATACCTATTCAAATCCACCCACTGGGCTCTTGGGATCTGAACTCTAGTTGCCATATTTATGTGACAAGTGTTTTAACCGCTAAGTCATCTCCCCAGCCTGTGTGTGCGCATGTGTATGCAGGCTGTGTGTCATGAAAATGAAGGTTGCCAGGGTTACTTTTCAGGGACTTGAAAGCCGCTTTGTTTAGAGCCCTCACTTTTCCCTTGGGTCTGTGTAGGTGTCTGTTGGGTAACTAAAGCAAGGTGACAAAGCTGGGTGCTTCTGCATTTGTGTTGTGTCTGTCCCTCTGCTACCCTAACTTTTGGGTCAGATTGTAGACATGTCAGTCACTTAATGTGTACTTGGGAGGTGGTAAGTAATGGCTTGCACTAAACTCATCAAATCTCTCTTCTCTCTTTAAACCAAAAAGGTGTCAAGATAGGAGTGGGTAAGATATTTTCCTGGTTTTAAGCAGGTGTATCTAACCTGTGGCCCAAAGGAATGAACCCAACAGAAAATCATAAAGTTACTCAGGGAGCTGGATAAATGGCTCAGTGGCTATGAGTGCTTGCTGTTCTTATAGAGGCCTGGGCTTGATTCTCATCACTACAGTTCCAGGAGATCGGAGGCTCTCTTTTGGCCTCTGTGGTACACACACAGACAAGGAAGTACCATAGATACACACTAATAATTGTAAAAAAAACTTACTAAAATCATTGTGATTTTTTTCCTACTCCTTTTTTTCAACTTGGTTAGGCTGTTCTGCAGGTTCTGGGAACTGAACCTTGGTTTTCTGCAAGAGCATCAAGGACTCTTAGCTGCTGAGCCTTCTCTCCATCCATGAGTACACTGTTTCCCTGCTCTCTTTTTGAGAGATGAATAAATGGGCTTGGTTTGGTGACGGGTTTCCTTTGCTGGGGTTGTTTAAGGCATTTCATGAAGTAACTTCTGAGTTACACTTAGAATATAAAGTTATGTTGCCATATTCTTTTTTTGCTTTCAAGACAGCTCTTCATTTCCTTGGCTGTCCTAGAGCTCACTCTGTAGACCAGGCTGGCCTTGAACTCAGAAATCTGCCTGTCTCTGCCTCCCAAGTGCTGCGATTAAAGGCGTGAGCCACCAGACTCAGCTGTTTGCTTTTCTTTATTATTAGGGGATACTGATATTTCATACTAAAAGATAATGTTATAGGGGAGAAAATAACTTTTCTTCACTCTTAACGTTCTTTTTAGAAATCTGTGATAGTGTGATGTGTGCTTATGTGTATGCACATACCTACACATACATTCATGTGTCACAGAGCACATATGGAGGTCAGGGGACAGCTCCCTGTCAGTCCTCACCTTCCATCTCATTTGAAACAGGATGTTTTGTGTTATCTGCTTCTGACCACTCTCTGCCTCTCATTTGCCTGTGGCTCTGGTTTTACAGACGTGTGCTACCATGCCAGGCTTTCTGTGAACTCTAGGGACTCAGTCAAGTCTTCCCACTTGCATGGCAAGGGCAGGCAAATGCTTTACCCTCTGAGCCATCTCCCCAGCTCCAGCCTCTTAAGTTCTCATTTGAAAATAGCAGGTGAACAAAAGAAAAACCAGCAGGAGTTTATAGCTAAGTGCACGCCATATGTGTGGGATTCCTTAGGAGTGAAAATTCCCAGAGAATTGCCCAGACGAGGAAGAGGTTCTTAGGGGTGGAATCTTGTGGACAAGGGAGTAGAGAGGCCTGGTTGCTGAAGCTTTGCCGTGTGGCACACTCTGATGCCCCCTGCAGGCTGTTGAGGGTCACGACAGCCTTCTAAGGTTGCTCTAGGAGAAAGGGTGTGTAGACTTTGTCTTATGCAAACAGGGAGGGCAGAGAACATTAGGCACTGGCTCTTAGCTCCCAGCAATCCTTGTGTAAGGTAGGCATATGTTGGGGTGGCATGTTCTGGTCACCCCCAGTGCCAATTACAGAGTGGCCCGCTTTTGGGAAGTCATCCCTCAGCATATTTGAAGTTTGAATTACAAACAGATTTCCACAGTTATTTTCAAATTATTTTTAACATTTTATTTATTTTCTCTCTGTATGTGCATGTGTTCATGTGCATGCCTGTAGCATGATTAATAAAAGACCCAAGGACAGATATTGGGGGTCAAGCTTCAAACTGAAGATCAGAAAAGCAAAGCAGCTGGCCACTAGCTCATAGCTCTACCAAGGCTCAGATCAAAGGGGCGATCCTCAGACTGCCCCCAACTTCACTGCTCCTCAGATTCACTCAGACTGCTATGTTCTCCTCAGTGTGGCTAGAGACTAACTTTCAGGCTGAATGCCTCGACTTTTTATACCCCTCAAATCCTGGGGTTAAAGGCGAGAGCTCTGATTTCACTCTCCGGTAGCCCAGGGTGGTCTTAGACTCAGAGATCCATCTGCCTTTCTCCTGAGTCGTGGGATTAAAGGTGTGTACCACCACCGCCCAATCTCTGTAGCTTGGGGCTGACTTTGCTTTCTGAATAAATCATAAGTAATGTATCACCACACAGGCCACCTTCTTGTGTTTGTGTGTACACATATATGTACCACAGTGTGTGTGTGTGTGTGTGTGTGTGTGTGTGTGTGTGTGTGTGTGTGTGTGTGTAGGAGGAAGTCATTACGGGTACCAGGGATTAAACACAGGTTGTCAAGCTTGGTTTCAGGTACTTATGCCTGCTGCTGAGCCATTGCCATGTGTTCAAGTCTTCACAGGTGTGGAGGGCTCTAGTGTTTCTTGGCATCAGTGCAGCAAGAGCGTGATGTTCTTGGTCAGGTACAATAGGATCCTCTTGAAGTCCTCGGGAATAAGATGTGATTTTCAAGTTGCTATGGTGGCACAGGAAGTAGTGGTTTCTCTGGGTTACTCTGTTCTTTGCCTCCCAGGTACCACAGAACGATTCATTCACCGTAACTGTTGGCTATCACTGTCCCCAACAGAATAGTGGTGCCTGTCACTATTCTATAGCTAGGTGTTCAGACCTGCCTGCTTGGCCTTTCACCCACCACATAGGGACATACCTCCTGCCGGTTTCTGTTGAGTGTGTGGGGAAGTGTAGCCGTGAAAGTAAACCAGGCGTGGCTGGGACATTACGTAGTTGATAGAGTGCTGATGTGGCATGCTCAGTTCCATCCTAAACACCGCACAAACTGGACATGAGGGTACACACCTGTAATCCTAGCACTCAGAGGAGGAGGGGGAGGATCAGGAGTTCAAGGTCATTCTCAGCTACTTAGGGAGTTTGAGGCTAGCTTGTGACACAGGAGACTCGGTATAAAAACAAACAAACAAACAACAACAAAAACCCAAACCCTTTACGGTATGGACTCTTTTGAGCTTGTGGACTGTGTGTCCCAGCCTGACATCTGATTTGAGGACCTAGAGAACTCCGAAAAGTTGGTAAGCCTCAAATTTGCATTTTGTGAATTGTATGCATAACAGAGGTCGTACAGTTTGATACTGAAGAATTTAGAATAGTAATAGTGAGGGCTAGACTCACTTCTAGATCAGGGACTGGGCCAAGAATCTTAGCCAGATTGTCTCATTTCTTCCGTTTAGCCTCCCTTTAGAGCAGAAATTGGTGGCATCCCCATTTTAAAAGTAAAGAAAGGAGGAACAAGGAAATCAAGAAGTACAGGGCTGAAAGTAAGTATGGGAACAAAGAAAGTAAGTAGCAGCCGTGGCTCAGTTGCTACGGGGCTTGCTGTGCAAGGACGAGGACCTGAGTTCAATCCCCAGCACTCAGGAAAGAAGCTGAGCATGGTGAGCACACACTTGTAATCTCAGTATTCAGGGGACAGAGGCAGGGGGATTCCAGGACCCACTAGCCAGCCAGCATAGCCTACTTAATGAATTCCAGACTAATGAAAGACCTGACTCAAAACCAGTTAGGCCAGCAAGATGGCTCAGCAGATTAGTGCTTGCTGTCTGCTCTACGAGACTCCACACCTGAAGGTCCTATAACCTCCCCAGTCAGCACCACCGACTGGGGAACCAAGTGTTCCAGTATATTCAGGCCATGGCAGGATCTCACTTCATAGCCAGGGCTGCCCTTGACCAGGTGGTCCTCCTGCCTCAGCCTCTTAAGCACTTAGTTATGTGTTTTGATTATAGAAATACCATGATTCCTTATGCAAATGGCCAGTTTCCCAAAGCAGAATCAGAAGAGCGCAGACACCAATCATGTAGGTGAGAGGAGATTCCAGGTATTCTTTGATTTAGAAACCTTTCAGTATTTTCTAAGACTTCAAATCCTACTCCTGTGATGAGCTGTGATTGATGGCTTTGTCCAGCTTTTGGGTTCTTGTGAAGCAGCCTGCTCTCCCGAGGCTACACTACAGCCTCACTTCTTTAAGAGTTTTTTCCTTTATCGTCTTCTTTTCTTTTTCCTTTCAGTGCATGTGTGTGCGTGTCCATGCTGGTGTGTGTGTGTGTGTGTGTGTGCGCGCGCGCGCGTGTGCACACGTGCCCTGATGTGAGTTTGTATGCACCACGTGTGCGCAATTGTCTGTGGAGGACGGAGAGTGTTGGACCCCCTGCAACTGGGGTTACAGGCAGTTATGAGCCACCTGATGTGGGTCCTGGGAACGGACTCCCGGACCTCTACAAGAGCAGTGTGCACATTTAGCCACTGAGCCATCTCTCCAGCTTCCTGCCCTCTTTTTGTTTGTTTGTTTGAGATAGGGCTGTCCTTGGTTGGTGTGGAGCTCACTGGCTAGGCCAGCTGCCCTGGGTCCTCCCACGTCCCCAGTGCTGGGTCACACGCATGCACAGATACACACCCCTCTCTACATGATGCCAGTCATTGAGCTTGGGTGATCACGCTTATGTGGCAGGAACTTCACTGACTGAGCCCTCTCTCTAGCCCCAACATTTCCTTTTTATCTGTATTTCTTTGCATTTACAACCCCCAGTTTCCTCTCTTAACATCATACATAGAACACTACATTGGTTACAGTTAATGAATTGATGAACACATCACCATTGACTAAAGTTTATTCTAACTTTTTTTTTCTTGCTCAAAGTTTCCAGTCAGGATCCCACTTTACACTTCATTATGATGGTTTTGGTTTCTAATTTTATTTTATTATTGTTGCGTACAGAGTGGTATGACGTGTCTGTGCACTTGCTTATGTGGAGTCATTTCTCTTCTTTCGCCTGTACAGGGATTCTGGGGGCCAAACTCAGGTCATCTGGATGGTGTGGCCTCTTACCGGGTCCATGGCTGCCTGGTGTCCTTAGCTCCTCTTGGTTGTGACTGAGACTTTGCAGCCCCGAGGACTGATTGGTTTATGGGAGGATTCCCTTTGGCTCGAGTTTGCTGGGAAGTCTCCACATGGTTGTGGGGCTTCAGCTTAACTTCGTGGAAGGAAGATCCTGGAGACCCAGGCACCCTCCCCACATCCTGTTGAGGCCACGTGCTTTCCACGTGCTCTGTGCTTGCAGGCGGGGACCCCGCAGTGGGACATGTCACTGTGAAATTGTCCCTTCCCCCTCTTTTCAGGCTCTACTTTTGGTTTCTTCTTGAGACAGGGTCTGTTCTCAAATTGGCTGTGTAACTGAGAACGACCTTCAATGTCTCATCCTCCTGCCTCTCCCTCCTGAGTTTTTGAATTACAGGCGGAGATCACTTCTCTTGATCTGGGCTGCACTAGACATCAAACCAAGAGCTTCACTCCTGTCAGGCAAGCTCTCCAGCACCTGAGCCCAGGCCCAGCCCCCGGGGCCCTTCTTTGGAAGCTACTTCTGTGCACAGTCTGCAGTTGAAGATCAGGGAGTTATTCCTCACTCCAGAGGGTGGGCTTTCTGTGTCATTTGTATTTATAATGAGCTTATTCATATCTAAGTTATATCTATATTAACTTGCTTGCATTGTTGTAGCCCTGGTGTTTGGTTTTCAGTTGTTATTCCTGGCATGGGTGCATGTGTGCATATGCATGTGCGTTAAGTATTTAATTTTTGGTACAAGATGTTCTAGCCCACGGCCACTAATTACCTCCCTGGAGCCTTGATGCTCACAACTGCCAGGGGAAAGGTAGACAGTGTTTCTTCCTTCTTCAGGGTTTATGAGTGCCTGCCACTTGCCAGGGACGATTTTTAGATAGTAACTACACAGTAAGAAAAGCAAGTTATGGTCTCTGCCCAGGATTTGAAAAGACAGCCCATAGTGTCTTAATCTTCAGGGATTTATGAATTAGCAGAGAATGGAGACATTTTAGGTAAACCAGTGTGGCTATAGCAACATCCAAGGAGCTAGTGCCCATGGGGCTGTCGGTGGAGCTGACATGCCACAAAACGTGTGTTGGTCATGTCCCCCCCTCCTGTCATCTCTACATGACAGTAGCATCAGAGCCTGTTCTTCACCTGGTCCCTTTCAGGGAGCCCATTGTCTGGCTCAAGGCACACCACCTGATTTGCCACCAGTGGCAAAACATTTCATGGATTCCCTTTCCTTCTCTTCTCTTCCCACCCTTTCCCCATCTCCGTTCCTTCCAGCCTGTATACTATATGATTTTTTCTTGTTGTTTTGTTTTTGTTTGTTTGTATGTTTTGTTTATCTTTGGCGGTTGTTCTGGAACTTGGTTTGTAGACCATGCTGGCCTTGAACTCACAGAGATCCACCTGCCTCTGCCTCCCTAGTAAGTACTGGGATTAAAGGCATGTGTGCTACCACTGCCCAGCTAATTTTTTACTATTTGTTTTTTAAAACTGCTGAAGAGACAGCTCACAGGCTAAGCTCTCTTCTTGTTCTTCCAAAGGACACAAGTTTGCTCCTAGTATCTATGTTGGACAGCTTATAACTGCCTAAAACTCCAGCTCCAGGGGATCCAACCCCCACCCCCTGCCTCTGCAGGCTCCTGCCCCCACACATAACTAACATTAATAAAAAGAAATCTTAAGAAAAATAATGTTGATTTATTTTTATGACACAGGATCTCATGTAGCTCAGGATAGACTCAAAATTTTCTGTGTAGCCAAAGATGACCTTGAACTTCTAATCCCCCTGCCTCAACTTCAACAAGTACTAGGATTATAGATATGTCACCATTCCCAGTTCATGCGGTGCTGGATTGGAAACCCAGGGCCTCATGTTTGCACAAGTGTGTTCAAGTGCACACTTAGGTGAGCACACATTTTATGGAGGCCTGAGGTCAATGTCTAATGCCTTTCCTTGATCATTCTCCACCTTCATTTTTTGAGAAAGGTCTGTCACTAAAGCTGAAGCTCATTTATTGGGCTAGGATGGCTGCTGGTCTCCAGGGGTCCTTCTGGACCTCTCCCTCCCCCAGGACTAGGGTTGCTAAAGTATACCACCATTCTCTGACTTTTTTTGTGGGTTCTGGGCTCCAAATCCAGACCCTCATGATTACAAAGCGGCTTCTTTTTCTGCCGGAGCCTTCTCACCATTCCCAGTAATCATCATTCTTTCAATAGTTTCATGAATTCTCAGTTCAGCGGCTACTAGCTCAGCATCACATGGCAGTGATGATTTGTTACAGTATAACAGTGATGGTTTCGTTACAGTAGATGGCCCTGGACTTTGATGCTGCGTTAGCTTCATTTTGTCCCATTTTGAAAATTAACTTAGTCTGTAATTGGAGATGTGGTTCAGCTGGGAGTGTGCCTGCCTGGCATGCACAAAGCCCCGAGTTCCATACTAGTACCATGTAAACCAGGCATGCTAAAGCACCTGTAATCCCAGCACTCAGGAGTATCAGAAGTTCAAGGTCATAATTGGCTACATATGGAGTTCAAGGACAGCCTGAGCTACTTGAGGCCCTGCTTAAGGAAAGGAAAAGGGGGAAAGAATCTGGCCTGTGGGTCTTAGAGAGCAGTAATGAAAGACTCGGCATCCTGTTTGAATATTTTGTAATGAGAAATCATCATTCTCTCTTGCAGATGTCCCTTTGAGAAGCAGCTTGCCACCGCCACTCAGAAATTACAAATATGGTAACTAATTTTTCTTCTGTTTTAAAAGATACATAATTTTGTTTTATTTTTGTTGGTGTGAGTCCAAATGTTGTGTTCAAATATTAATTTACTATAAAGTCACCTTTGAAGGGCAGGAGGCATAGCTTAGTGAAGAATGTGTGTTTATCATGGTCAAGACCCCAGTTTGTTCCCAGCACACACACAACATATGCATATATATATATAATACAAGGGTATCTACATGCACTCATGATCTATTATGCATGTATGAGCCATTATTTTTATATAATTGATGTTGCTTAGCATATGAATAAGAGATGCTTTTGAGGGTCTTTGGCATATACACACACAGAGTCTGGAAGTTTGGTAAGGAATGTAGGACTCTTAGTATGTATGAATGTCAGTTGTCATTTTGTAGAGAAGTAGTATGCTTGTGAGGAATAGCATGCTTGGCAAAACTGTTTATAAATGAGGTTTCTTTGCCAGATAATCAGAGAAGAAAAAAATGGAAGGGGCCTAAGAATGAAGAGAATTAATTTAGGGTTGTGGATGTGGCTCCTTCAGGAGATTGCACAATTGCAGGAATCCCTGGGGTTTCATCCCAGACATGAAGAAAACCGTGAGTGTTGGTGCCAGTGTGCTGGTGCACGCTTGTAATCCAGCAGTCAGGAGGTGAGACAGGAGAATCTGAAGTTGAAGATCATTCTCAGCTACAAATGGAGCTTAAGGCCAACCTGGGATACATCTGACCCTGTCTCAGAAGAAGTGGTTTAGCATTTTAAATGCCAATAACTTGAACATTCTCACTTTATGTGCTGCGATTAGTGAGGGTGGGGTTTAGTTGTTTGAATGTTTACCTTGTATGCATAGAGTTCTCGGTGAGATGCCTACTACTGCATAAAGTAAGTAGTCCCATAGCACCCTGGGAGGTGGAGACAGGAGCATCCGAAGTGCAAAATCATCCTTAGGTATAAAGCCAGCTATAAAGGCGAGCGGGGATACATGACACCTGCCTCACAGATAGATAGAAGATAGACAGATAGATAGATAGATAGATAGATAGATAGATAGATAGATAGATGATAGGTAGATAGATAGACAGACAGACAGGTAGATAGATAGATAGATAGATAGATAGATAGATAGATAGATAGATAAGGGCTGGTGTGATGGCTCAGCAGGTAAAGGCATCTGCTACCAATCCACAAAATATGCAAAAAGGGAAACTATATGTAATTTTCAGGTGGATTCAAACAAATAATGGAGAGAGAGAGAACTAAAATTCACAAGTTATCCTCTGCTTTGGCACACATGCATGCACATACATAAATACAAAATAAATAAAATGCAATAAAAAGTAAAAATACAGTAATAAAGCCAGAGGCTATGTGTCGTTATATGTTATAAAGACCACCTAGTCCCTCATCTTCCGAGGGGCACTGAGAAAAGCCTACTTGAAAGTTACAGTGCATCTAATAAATATTTCTGCTAATTAGCACAGACATTTGAAAGTGTAAATTTTTTATTACCTTAAGTCATTTTCCAGAGTGGCTTTTCATTCCATTCTCATCTGATAGGACAACCAATGACCTACAATCTTTTGAAATCACAGTCTGCGTGTGCCTGCATTTTAATACCCAGCATCTAATTGAGGTTGCAGAGGCGGTCAGGCAGGAGGCAGAGGCACTGAGTGGAAAGTACTTTGATTTATGAGACCTCAAGCATTTACATACTCAATATTGAAGCAGAGAAAGGGATAAAAAGCATGATTGAGGTAAATATGAAACTTCTCAGTTGTGGCTTTCACAGTTTTTGAAGGAGAATGCCTCAAATAGTACCTCAAAATCTTAAGTTTGAATCCACCTGCAAATTACATATAGTTTTCCTTTTGCATATTTTGTTTGTGTATGTGTGTGTAGGCAAATGTGTGTAAGGTCAGGTCTTTTAAAAGGTAAGTTTTAGAACAATGAAAACATAGCTGGGGAGATGTCAGTGGCTCATTTGGTAAAGTGCTTGCTGGACAAGTTCAGTCCTCCAAGCCCTTAAAACATGCTGGGCACAGTGGCACATGTTTGTAGTCCCAGAGCTGGGGAGGTAGAGACAGGTGTGTTCGTGGGGCTTGCTGGTCAGGCCAGCCTAATGTAACTAATGAGCTCTAGCCAGTGAGAAAGTCTTTCTCAAAAATAAATGAGTAAGTACATAAGTAAGTAAATACATAATAAATAAATAAATAGTAGGGTGGATGGCCCCCTAGGAATGCACTTTTTCAGTCCAATTATTTGACCTGCAGGCCTTGTAACTGCCCCAAGGGATTAGGGATTTTTTAAGCTACTTTTCTTCATTTGTGTCTTTTTTTTTTTTTTTTTTTAAGACGGGGTCTCACCATGCAGCCTTGGCCAGAAGTTGCTTTGTAGATCAAGCTGGCCTGGAACTCATAGAGATCTGCCTGCCTCTGTCTCCTGAATGTAGGGATTAAGGATGTATACTACTGTGCCTAACTGTCACTTAAGTCTTAATTTACGATTTGCATCTGGATATTTTTAAAGTTCACTCTTAGCTTTTAGTGGCTCCAGAAGATAAAATGGAGTTGTGTGTTTGCTGCTTAGGCTTCCAGTTCCGCCACCCCACTGTTACATGCCAAAGGCCTAAGCTTTGAATCCACATGGTCAGGCCTGACCCACAGGCCTCATGAAGCCCAGTACAAAAGTAACACTTACTTAAAATGTTGCAAAGTTTTCTGTGATCTGCTTTTGGTAATTCAGTGGTTCCTGGTTATGAACTTTGTCGATGACAATTTTGTGTCACTCAATGTGAAATGGTTGTGCCCCTATCAATTTAAAGTATCTTTGTGTACCTTCCTCCCTCTCTGTTCCTCTCTCTTCCTTTCCCTCCTCTCCTTCCTCCTGCCAGGACCCCCATATCCAGGCGAGCAGTCCACCACTGAGCTCACCTCTGGCCTCCTATACCTTGAATAATTTGCTAAAGTGCATTTCCTTTTATAGTAGGACAGGTTTTAAATAGGTATGCTTATAAAGAAAGAATTTCAGTTTTTCCAGTTTCTTCATTTAATAATCACAACAGAGGTTTTAGATGAATCTGTGAACAAAGAACTTGTTTTGTTTTTCTTTCAGATACACTAAAGATTCTTCATCAAGCTCACAAAGCAAAGGTGTGTCTGTGGGTGGGGTATCTGGTGGGTGGGGTTTCCGATGCACAGTGTTGCTGGAATTGGAGTAAGCAAACAGGCATGTGTGTCTAAAATCTCTCCTATTTTAGGAATTATTTGTGGGGGGATTGCTTTCTACAGCCTTCCTTCCCCATTCAAGGAAAAAAGTAGGGGCTGGGCTCAGTCAGTAGCATTTACCTTACAGGCGTTGGGACTTGAGTTTGGGCCCCCAGCTCCCAGGGGAAAGTGAGGTGCAGTGGTGCATACGTGTGATTTCAGCACTGGGAAGGTGGAGACAGGAGGCTTCCTTGAGCCAGGTCAGCCTAGCTGAACTGGTGAATTCCAGGTTCAGAAAGACACTGTGTCTGAGACAAAGGTGAGGAAACAGTGTGTGGTCTGTCACCTGCTGTCTTGAAGGCTGGCTTTAGTTACCAAGCTGCCACCGTGGTAGCTGATGGAAACCTGGCCTAGGTACAGTGATCTATGTACGTGCTGAGCAGCACCACGTATATTGCTGAGGCCCAACTGGCCTGGATTGCAGGCTTGACATTATGGATGCTGAGTGTGCTCTGGTCACCAGTGTGTGAGCGAGGGCGTGGTGGAAGGAGACTCTTGTGAGGTCCATGAGGACATGGCAGCTCTAGAGAAGGCTTGTGGATTCCGCTAAGAAGTGGGTAAAGGTGAGAACAGGAACTCCACATCTCCATTTCTCTCACACTGTTGCAGGCCATACTCCCCAACTTCAGCTCCAACTGTAGCTTCTGGCATGGGTGTTTTCTGATTAGATTGTCTTCGCCCGCCAACTAGGTCTGTCTTTTTTATATGCACCCAAGGATTCTCCATGATGTCTCAAAGTAATGACTTTAAAAAAGAAAGAAAGAACAACAATAAAAATAGCATAGAGCAATTGAAGAAAGTAGCTGGTATGGGCATCTGGCATTTACATGCACATTTACAAACATGTATGCGTGCATGTACCCTACATGCATATAAAAGCCAAGTCAGGGCCAGTGGGATTGTTCCATGGATAAGGCACCTGTTGCCAAGCCTGACAACTGGAATTCAATCCCTGGGACCTACATGTGACAGTTGTCCTTTGATCTCTGTTATGGGATGTACACACCCATACATCATACACACAATTAACGAATAACATGAAATTTAAAGATTTAAAAAGCTAAGTTATGTGTACTTGTTACTAGTAGATTTTTAAAATAAAGTGTAAAATAGTCGGGCATAGTGGCACATGCCTTTAATCCCAGCACTTGGGAGGCAGAAGCAGGGGAATCTCAGTGAGTTCAAGGCCAGCCTGTAGCAAGTTTTCTTGTTAGACTTGTTTTGGGACTGCCAGCTCCCCAGTAATGACATGGAGACTTATTATTAATTATGAAAGCTTGACCTTTAGCTTAGGCCTGTTCCCAACCAGCTCTTGCAACTTAAATTACCCTGTTTCTATTAATCTGCCACATGGCTGCTTACCTCTCTTCCATTCTGTATGTCTGACTCTCTGTGTCTCACTGGCATTTCTTATGCACCTAAATTAATCACGAGTTCCTCTCTCTCCCTGGAAGTCCCGCCTATTCTCTCCTGCCTAGCTATCTCCATTCAGCTCTTTATTAAACCAATCAGAAGGCACCTTAGGCAAAGACACATCTTTACAGTGTACACAAAGATTATCCCTCAACACCAGCGAATTCTAAATCAGTTTGGATTACATAGAGAGATCTGGTCTCAAAAAACAAAACAACAAAAAAAAAACAAACAAACAAAAAATGGAGTGGGGGGAGGGGATGTCTGTGTAAAAATATGACCACCACAAATTTATACAAAATATGTATAAACCCAGCTTGTGTAAAGAACCTGCTTGTCTTGTGGCAGCCTAATCTCTTCCTAATTCTGTACCAGAAAGAAAGGTCGGGAAGCAAACACTGGTACCCTGTGTATGGGTGCAGGCCACAAGAACCATGGTGGGTGCTGTCACAGAGGCGCAGTCCACCCTTCCAGGGTGTCTCTTACCTGAAGAGAGCTGGGTGTTTGTGTTTTGTGCTTTCATTCATATGTTCTTGAATATTCATGTAAGGTTTTGGTGAAGTTGCCACCAAAGGTGCGCTTCTCACACAGGATGGGAACATCTTTTCTCTTGAGCCCCGTCATTAAAAATGTCAGCTCATTCTTACGTTAACTGCTCAAGGAAAAGGGATGCACCTTTGTGTGGGTATGTGTATGTTGGTGTGTACTGTGCATCTGCGCATGTGTGTATGGAGACAGGTGAGCACATGCATGTGAAGACCAAAAGTCAACATTGAATATCTTCCTCGTTTGCTCCCCACTGTTTATTTTTTTGAGACAGGGTCTCACTATGTAGGTCTGCATGGCCTAGAACTCACTACGTAGACCAGGCTGGCTTCAAACTCACTGAGATCTGCCTGTGCCTTGAGAATGCTGGGATTTAAGGCATATGCCAGCATGCCTGGCTTCCACCTTACCTTTTTTTTTTAAAAGCTTTTATTTAGTTATTATGTATATAGTGTTCTGCCTACGTGTTTGCCTGCAGGACAGAAGAGGATACCAGATCTCATCATAGATGGTTGTGAGCCACCATGTGGTTTCTGGAAATTGAACTCAGGACCTTTGGAAGAGTAGCCATTGCTCTTAGCCTCTGAGCCGTTTCTCCAGCCCCCACCTTATCTTTTAGATGGGATCTCTCACTGAACCTGGGGCTCATGATTTGGCTACATTGGCTTGCCTATCCCCAGGATCATTCTTTCTCCACAGTGCCAACACTGGGATTGCACCATGCCCAGCTTTTGAACTCAGGTCCTCACTTTTGTGGCAAACACTTTGCTGGCTGTACCACGTCCCAGTCCTGAGGGACTATATCTCGTTATTCATGCCTCTTCATATCTCTAGCACCTAGTGAAATGCCTGCGTCAGGAGAATTTTTATGATTTTTAAAATCCTTATTTCATTTTTATTTACTTATCTGTTATGTGCATATCTGGGCATGTGCCTGGGGAAGGTCAGAGGGCAACTTTCAGGCTTCTGTTCTCCCCTTCTGCCCTGTGGGTTAAAGGATCAAGGTTTTAAGGCTTGCCCTCGGGTGTCTTCCCCTCTGGGCCATCTCACTGGCTCTCCCTAACACGTTTTGAGTGAGGTATTCATTGATGAATTGGTTTCATTTTATTCTTGTTTCAAGTCATTGGCGCAGTTGTAAACTCAAGCTTTCAGATAGATGTGTGTGACAGATGACACAGGGCAAGTGGCTAAGAGTGTCAGTTGGTTTCAGGTTAGGGACATAGTGACATTTATTGCATATGAAAATTTGACAGTGTCTCAAGATACTGGGCTCTCACACGCCTGAGGCTACATGTGGGATCTGCTCCTTTTATGGCTACCAGAACGTTCTACCACAGTCTGACCACAGGCTTCATCCATGGAGTGTTTTCACTGATTTCTAAACAGTGGGGGAAGACAAGGTGTGGTTTTGTTTTGCTTTACGTTTTATTAGTTACTTTTCTCTCTTCTGGGGCAGAATACCTCACAAAAGTGACTGAAAAGAAAGAGTAATTTACTTACCATTTTATATCCTGTAGTCCACCGTGGAGGAGAAAGCATGGCATTTACAATAAGAAGCAGAGGCAGCCCCCAATGCTGGACTCAGCACCCTGCCTTGTGTGTATGTGCAGTGGCCAGCGGAGGGTGTTGGGTGTCCTGCTCTGTCACTCTCTACCACACACCCTTGAGACAGGATCTCTCACAGAGCCTAGAATTAGACTGGCAGCTACTCCTGTCTACACTCAAGAAAGTACTGAAGTCACAGGCACCCCCAGCTTTTTGAGGGTACTGGGGATTTGAACTCATGCTTGCACAGAAAATACTCTTACTTAGTGAGCAATCTCTCCTGCCATACAGACATATTTTTAAGAGAAAAAGAAAAAATACTTTAGAAGATAGAACATGGTGCATTTGTGTTTGCACAGCAAAGTTTGCAGGCACATTTCCACATGTAAGACACATGTGGACACATGTAAGACACATGTTAGGCAGCGCACATGGCCAGGTACAGTTTCTGCAGAGGACAGCTCAGTAGCTGGGGCATGGGGGTAGGCGACTTTGCAGTTTTCATTCTCTGTGTTCTTGGAGAATTTTGTATTTAGATTCTGTGCTCTAAAAGAACTTTTTAATTAAGCACTGAATTTTTTTTTCCTTTTTCTTTCTTTCTTTTTTTGGTGAATATACTCTGGAGTTCAAGGCCCTCTGTACTTAGTGAAATTCATGATTTATGGAACATGGCCTCTGACTTATGGGGCTTCTGTTTGGCCGTGGAGAGATCTTTCTGTTGAGTCTGTCTCAGATATATTCTAGAAGTAGACTGGAATGAGGAATAGTTCCATCAGTAAAGTATTTGCAGGAAAATCCAGGCGTGACTGCAAGCGCTGAAGTCAGCACTGGGGAGGCAGGACAGGCAGCTCCTCAGAGTTCTTGCCAGCTAATCAGTGAGTTCTAGGTTCAGTGAAAGACCCTATCTTAGGGCTTCTACTGCTGTGAAGAGATACCATGGCCACAGCAACTCTTACAAAAGAAAGCATTTAATTGCGGTGGTTTGCTTATGGTTCAGAGGTTCAGCCCATTCTCCTCATGGTGGAACATGGCAGCATGCAGGCAGACATGGTGCTGGGGAGGTAGCCGAGAGTTCAGTATCTTACAGGCAACAGGCAGTGAACTGAAACACTGGGTGTGGCTTGAGCATATATGAGAACTTCAAAGCCCTCCTCCATAGTGACACACTTCCTCCAACAAGGTCACACCCACTCCAACAAAGCCACACCTCATAGTAGTCACACTCCCTTTGGGGGCCATTGTCTTTCAAACCAACAAAGACGCTGTCACAAAAGAATACAGTGGAGTAGAGATGGAGCAAGTCACCCAAAATTGTTGACTCCTGGCCTCTATTACACACGTACCCATGCACTCACATGCACACACGTGCATGGAACTAGAATATACTACTAAACAGTCAATTCTCATTGGCAGGTGGTACTATGTGCCCAATCCACAGTAACTTCCAGGTGTTATTCAGGGGGGACAGAGCAACTCCCAAATTGTCTCCCAAGACACCCAGCTAGACTTACAAATATCACTGGAGAACAAACATCCACCACCACTCCAAATCAGGTGGAAATATGACAGTTAATAAGACTGAAATCCTTGTCTGCTTGGATATGTGCTCTTGGGACCACTAAGGCCCAGTTGCTTCTCTCAGAAGTCACATTGTCAAGAGTGTGCCTTCAGTTCCATCCCTGGGCCTGCATTTTTGCTTTCCTCCCTGGTTCTTGCATTGATGATGCAACATGGTGACAGCAGACAGCAGCACTGAGTGAGGGTCCAGTTGGATGTGGCGCCTCCTCCTTAATCAGTACTGGGGAAAGAGGATGCTGCGCTCACTTCCCCTTCTGTGGCTGCAAGGTAACTAAAGCTTGTAGAAGTTTATAGGGTTGAGTTCACAAAGCTGGGCACCAAGAGAACCTGCCTTGGAACCCTGGTTAAATTCCAAAGCCTGTTTGTAGCACTGTCTACAGTGTAGCTTAAAGTATTGGCACTTAGTAGGTCTACATTCTGCATCTTTTCTGTTATCTCCTTAGTAGAATTTAACATGACTTAGATTATTGCTGAGGCTCCATGTAACAACTCTGTGTGTGTGTGTGTGTGTGTGTGTGTTCATGAGTGTGTACACAGGTACATGCTGGATGCATGTGTATAGAAGCCAGAAGTTGGTGTTAGGTATCTCCCTCTATTGTTGTTCACTTTACTTTTTAAAATATTTCTTTATGCCGGACGGTGGTGGCGCACACCTTTAATCCCAGCACTCGAGAGGCAGAGGCAGGCAGATCTCTGTGAGTTCGAGGCCAGCATGATCTACAGAGTGAGTTCCAGGACAGCCTCCAAAACAATACAGAGAAACCCTGTCTCGAAAAACCAAAATAAATAAATAAAATTTTTCTTTCTTTGTTTGTTATTTGTGTGTGGCCATGTGAGTGTGTGAGGATGCCTGTAGGTCTAGAAAAGAGTCTTGGGTCCTTTGGAGCTAGAGTTACTGCTGTTGTGAGCTGTCTGACATGGATCTAAACTCCAATCTTCATGGTAGAGCAGCGAGCTCTAACCTCTGAGCCATCTCTTCAGCCCCATCCACATTACTTTTTGAGACGGGTCTCTCATTGGGTCTGGGACTTGCTGTTTGATTAGGCTGACCAGCCAGTGAGTGTCAGGGATCCTTCCTGTCTCCACCTCCCCAGCACTGGAATTGCATAGCATGGGGTTCCAAATGCAGGTCCTTGTACTTGCAGGGTGAACACTTTCCTGATTCAGCTGTTTCCCCATCCCCTCCAAGTACCACTCTCAGGTCCCCAGGACATCTTGACCAAGCGTACTGACCAAGTGGGGATTCTTTCCTTCTAGACAAATGAGCTTGTGTTGGGTTTGGAGGATGACGACACACTCCTGCTGAAGGAAGACAGAACGCTGAAGGAATCAGGAATAGGTGAGAAGGGCTGGGGTGGATGGAGGAGCACTGGATGACAGTATCTGGAAAATCTCCCAAAGCAAAGCCCCTGTGCTGAGACCGCTCTGCATTCCGATCATTTGACCGAGGGCACTGGAATTTGCTCTGCATATGTGCAGAATGCAAACACTTTTCCAGTTTATTCAGAAATCTGGTGAGGGTCATTTCAAATGACTGACAGACTATTAGTACAGTAACTGGCAACTGTCATCAGCACCATTGGAGAGAATTGGACCTAGTGGAACTAATGTAGAATAATGAAATGAGATGTTGTTTGTACAACACGAAGCGTAACTTCTGATAGTCACTCAGGACTCTCAGGGCCAGCCAAGCTGTGGAATTTAAACTATAAGCCTGGTATGTACAGTGGGGAAATGACCTGATTTAGTCTTTCATCCTAGAGTGTACGTTCAGTTCTATTTTAAATAAATGCTGTGTGGCCCATCTCCTAGCCATTAGATGTCAGTGTTATTCTACTTATGCCTTCAAAATGTGTGTGAATATGAGCAGGAGTTCTGAGAAGAAGGCACATGCTGCCTGTGACACAAGATAGTATGACAGTGCACACTTCTTCCTTAAGTCCCAGAGTTCTTGCCAGCTAATCAGTGAGTTCCCAGTGCACTGGGAAGCCTTATGGTTTGGTTGTTGTTGTTTTGGATAGATGTTCTGTTGAGTAACTTTTGCCACATGTCAGGAGTTCACTTTTGAAGGATTCACTTGGTTTATGTGAATTCCTGACAGTGATCTTTCCATTGAAACAGGATTTAAAATAACAGGTCAGGGGGGCTGGGAGATGGCTCAGTGAGTTTGCTGTGCAAGCAGGAGAACCTGGATTTGATCCCCAGCACCCCTGTGGCCATGTGTGCACCTGTAACCTCAGCAGGGTGGGAGGTGGCGATAGGAGGGTCTCTGACTAAGGCTTGCTGGCTGCCAGCTGCTACAGATTCGGTGAGAGACCCTGCCTCAAGGGAATAAGATGGCGAGCAGGACAACTGATGTCCTCTTTTGTCCTCTGCACATAAACTCTTGCAGCTGTTTGGGTACTTTCACATACACACACACACACACACACACACACACACACACACACACACGTAAATAAATAAATGTTGGGTTATGAAATCATAAACCTGATCTCTGTATTAAGTCTACATAATTTTCTACAATTAGTGCCTGTTTATATTATTAATACAGTACATTTATTGTTATTGAAATAACAGTATTATGAATTGTGCACAGGAATTATTTTCTCTAATGCTTGTAGCATTTTCTGTAACTTCCTCCAGGATCAACTTCCCTGGAAGTAAATCAAATTTGAGACTATTTATAAGGACTTCTTTCTTGGCATGGGGGTCCATGCCTTTAATCATGGCACAGGAGAGGTGGAGGCCTGAGGATCATGAGTTTTAGGTCATCCTGGGTTACATAGCAAGTACAAGACCAATCTAGACTATCTTTTGAGATCCTGCTTATAAATAAATAATCAATTAATGTTTTTTCTATTTGGAAAAAGTCATCCTCCAAGTAGGTATTGAATGTTTATTTTGTGTCAGTGAGAAATGATTTTTAACTTGACACTTGGTGTATCAAAAGCAGCTTTTATAGCTAGTGGCACTTGTCTAATTAAGACTTCTCAAGCCTAGATGAAGCCTGGCTTGCTTTAAAAGCCTACACCAAAATGAACATTATAGACTGTTTTTGATAATGGAATTGATAGGTAGCTCAGTGAAAAGCAATATAAAATCCAATGCAAACTGTAAAAAGACTGAGATAATAAAGTTGACATCTTACAAATAGACAGGGAAGAAATGAAAAACTGTGTTTCTAGGAAACAAATTTCAAAACTCAATTAAATCCTTAATTTAATTAAACTCAAATCTTTAACTTAATTAAAATTAAGATTTTAATTTAAATCTTAAATTTCTTTAAGAAAGAAATTCTAGGTGAATTAATGTTACAATGTAAAAATAATTTTAAAGACTGGGTGGTGGTGGCACACACCTTTATTCCCAGCACTCAGGAGGCAGAGGCAGACGGATCTCTGTGAGTTCAAGACCAACCTGGTTTACAAGAGCTAGTTCCAGGACAGCCTCCAAAGCCACAAAAAACCCTGTCTTGAAAAACAAATCAAAACAAAACAAAACAACAAAAGTAAATTTAAAAAAACATATTTTTTTTTCTTGCTGGGTGTAGTGGCACATGCCTTTAATCCAGGAACTCAGGAGGCAGAGGCAAGTGAATCTCTGTGAGTTTGAAGATAGCCTGGTCTACAGAGTGACTTTCAGGACAGCCAGAGTTACACAGTGAGAGACCCTGTTTCAAAAACAAAATGTATACTTGTTTTTTGTACACATCTGTGCATGCGTGTGGATGGCCAGGCATGCCGTGGTATGTACCTTGGTAAGTGAATGGAGGTCAGAGGACAACCTGTGGAACTAGATTCTCCCATCCCATCATGTGGCTCCTAAGGAATGGAACTCAGGACTTCAGGCTTGGCAGCAAGTGCCTCTACCAGTTGAATCATATTGTCGTCTAATAAAAGCATAGGTTCATGACCTCAGAGGAGAGGCTATAGAGGGGAAAAGGTATAATATGACCTTAAAAATGGTAGAGACTGTGTTGGCTAGTTTTATGTCCACTTGATATAAATTAAAGTCATTCAGGGAAGCAAGAGCCTCAAGTGAGAGAATGCCCCCAGCAGATTGGCCTGTGGGCATGCCTGTGGTCATTTTCTTAATTGATAATTACTGTGGGAGGGCCCAGCTCACTGTGAATGGTGTCACCCCTAGGCTGGTGGTCCTGGGTGCAAGAAGAAAGCAAACTAGCAAGCCATGAGGAGCAAGGCCATAAGCAACACTGCTCCTTGGTCTCTGCTTCCGCTTCTGCCTAGGCTCCTGCCCTGATTTCCCTCAACAATGGACTGTGATGTGAAACTATAAGCTGACATAACCCCCTTCTCCCCCACTTTGTTCATGGCCATGGTCTTCATCCCAGCACTGTAAACCCTAAATAAGACTCAGACCCAAAGGAAGAATAACAAACTATGAATACGTATGTTAAGTTTGCTAGATGACACATAAAAAGTGGCCAGCCTGACTGAGGAACTCTTCAGGACTTGGAGAGGTGAAGAGTAAAGTGTTTACTGGGTAAAAACCCAAGTTCAATCCCTACCACTCACATTAAAATAAAGGGAAGGAGGGAGGAAGGGAGGGAAGGGAGAGAAGGGAGGGAGGGAGGGAGGGAGGGAAGGAAGGAAGGAAGGAAGGAAGGAAGGAAGGAAGGAAGGAAGGAAGGAAGGAAGGAAGACAGCAAGGTGTGGTAGCCCACTTTGGTTATCTCAGTGCTGGGGAGGTGTACACAGGAGGATCCCTGGGGCTCACTGGCCAGCCAGGCTTAACAGTCAGTGAGCTCCAGGTCCAGGGAGATCCTGTCTCAAACGAATAAGGTGAGATCTGGAGAGATGACTCAGTGGCTAAGAATATCCACTGCTGGTGTGGAGGAGCCAAGATCAGTTCCTAGCACCCTTATTGGGCAGCTTATAACTTCCTATAACTCAATTCTTATACCCTCTTCTTACCTTCATGACTACTGAGCATGAGCACATGTGCGCATGTGCACGCGCGTGCACACACGCGCACACACACACATGCACCTGAACACACATGTGTATATATACATACAACATAGACATGCAGGCAAACAACATTGTAATTAGTATAGGAAAGGTAAATGAAAAACTATTCAGATTGAAGGAACAGCATGTCAAAAGTACTTCCACACATTTGTTAGGGCAAATGCATGCTGAAATAGATGCTGTCTGCATAGCAGAGCCAAGAAGGTGAGAGTTACAGCCTAGCCCCCAAGGCTTGGCCTCAGAACCCATTTATGTCTATTATGTCCATCTGGGTGACCTTGGACAACCAGCCATTAGTACAAGACTGGCAGTCGTAAATAAACCGGTGAGCCCCAGCGAGGTTACAGTGAGGGAAAGGGCTTTCTCACTCGCTTCTGCTGAGAGTGTGTTCTTCCTCTGGGGCTCCGGGGTCAAGGACTGCTTTCCTTATATCTTTTAGGTCTAAGGGACCTTGCCCCCTTAGGTCCACCTTCTGAAGGGTTAGGATTCCCTCTCGTGTTCCCTGTCTGAATCACTGATGTGGGTATTTACCCCATGGAAGAAGAATATATTGTGTGCTGTTGCCATCATTTAAAACATACACATGGGCGGAAGAGATGGCTCAGCAGTTCTGTGCACTTGATGTTCTTCCAGAAGACCAGAGCCTGCACCCTAGCACTCACAACTGCCTGTAACTCCAGCTCCAGGGAATCGAATGCCCCAATACACAGTGTATATGCCCACTCAGATACACATGCACACATACATAACCATACTTAAATAGTTCTCAATAATAAAAGGTTGTAACCCATGCTTGTAGGTGTATATAAAGGAAGGATCACATGCCAGCCAGCCAGTGAGCCCTGGAAACCTGCCTGTGTCTACTCTCCAGGTGCGGGGGTTACAAGTGTGCACACTACTCTGGCGTTTTTTTAAATGTGGATTTTGAGGATGGCATGCAGGCCCTGATGCTTGCAAAGCAAGCGCTTTACCCATTCTTGTTTTAAGGGTTTGATCAGACTTTGATTCAAATCGGATCCTTTTTGTGGGCTCACCTCTGAGCTTAGAGTGATCCAGGGATCCCCAAAATGCCCTCTAGACCTGGCAGGCAGCACGTGGGTCCTTCCTAGAAACAATTTCCTCTGCTTCCGAGAGCTGTGTTCTGTCCTCCGGGGAGCAAGCTTTGGTTATATCCAGGGAGGACGCAAGGTCCCCCAGAGAATGGCAGGAAATTACAAGTGGGAGTCGAGTTGTCAAGTGTGATGTTTCTAGGGAATTTTCCTTCCCGCCTGCGTCTGGTCAGGCTTCAGGGAGGTTTAAGAGACAAACTCAAAGGCAGCACTCGTTCCCTTTCTACTCCTTGATC